ATATAGGAATACACACTAAATATAGGATTACACACTAACTTCAGGATTACACAATAAATATATGAATACACACTAACTATAGGAATACACACTAACTATAAGAATACACATTGACTATAGGAATACACATTAACTATAGGAATACACACTAACTATAGGAATACACACTAACTATGGGAATACACACTAACTACAAGAATAAACACCAACTATAGGAATACATACTAACTATAGGAATACACACTTACTATAGGAATACAAAATAACTACAAGAATAAACACCAACTATAGAAATACACACTAACTATAGGAATACAAACTATCTATAGGAATACCCACTTACTATAGCAATACAACCTAACTACAGGAATAAACACTAACTATAGGAATAAACACTAACTATAGAAATACACACTAACTACAAGAATAAATACTAACTAAAGGAATACACACTAACTATAGGAATACAAACTAACTAAAGGAATACACACTAACTATAGGAATACAAACTAACTAAAAGGAATACAAACTAACTACAGGAATAAACACTAACTATAGGCATACACATATACTACAGGACTAAACACTATAGGAATACACACTAAATATAGGATTACACACTAACTATAGGAATACACAATAAATATATGAATACACACTAACTATCGAAATACACACTAAATATATGAATACACACTAAATATAGGAATACACACTAACTATAAGAATACACATTAACTATAGGAATACACACTAACTATAGGAATACACATTGACTATGGGAATACACACTAACTATGAGAATACATACTAACTACAAGAATAAACACCAACTATAGAAATACACACTTACTGTAGCAATACAACCTAACTACAAGAATAAACACCAACTATAGGCATACACATATACTACAGGACTAAACAATATAGGAATACACACTAAATATAGGATTACACACTAACTTCAGGATTACACAATAAATATATGAATACACACTAACTATAGAAATACACACTAAATATAGGAATACACACTAACTATAAGAATACACATTGACTATAGGAATACACACTGACTATAGGAATACACACTAACTACAAGAATAAACACCAACTATAGGAATACACACTAACTACAAGAATAAACACCAACTATAGGAATACACACTAACTATAGGAATACACACTTACTATAGGAATACACACTAACTATAGGAATACACACTTACTATAGGAATACAAACTAACTACAAGAATAAACACCAACTATAGATTTACACACTAACTATAGGAATACAAACTATCTATAGGAATACCCACTTACTATAGCAATACAACCTAACTACAGGAATAAACACTAACTATAGAAATACACACTAACTACAAGAATAAATACTAACTAAAGGAATACACACTAACTATAGGAACACAAACTAACTAAAAGGAATACAAACTAACTACAGGAATAATCACTAACTATAGGCATACACATATACTACAGGACTAAACACTATAGGAATACACACTAAATATAGGATTACACACTAACTATATGATTACACAATAAATATATGAATACACACTAACTATAGAATTACACACTAAATATATAAATACACACTAAATATAGGAATACACACTATCTATATGAATACACAATAACTATATGAATACACATTAACTATATGAATACACACTAACTATATGAATACACACTAACTATATGAATACACACTAACGATAAGAATACACACTAACTATAGGAATACACACTAATTATAGGAATACAAACTATCTATAGAAATACACACTATCTATATGAATACACACTAACTATAAGAATACACACTAACTATAAGAATACACACTAACTATAGGAATACACACTGACTATAGGAATACACACTATAGAAATACACACTAAATATATGAATACACACTAAATATATGAATACACACTAACTATATGAATACACACTATCTATATGAATGCACAATAACTATATGAATACACACTAACTATAAGAATACACACTAACTACAGGAATACACACTAACTATATGAATACACACTAACTATATGAATACAAACTATCTATAGGAATACACACGATCTATATGAATACACCCTAACTATAGGAATACACACGATCTATATGAATACACGCTAACTATATGAATACACACTATAGGAATACATGCTATCTATATGAATACACACTAACTATAGGAATACACACTAACTATAGGAATACACACTAACTATAGGAATACACACTAACTATAGGAATACACACGAACTATAGGAATACACACTAACTATGGGAATACACACTAAGTATGGGAATACACACATTTACTATAGGAATACACACTAACTATAGGAATACACACTATCTATAGGAATACACACTATCTATAGGAATACACACATTTACTATAGGAATACACACTATCTATATGAACACACTAACTATAGGAATACACATTAACTATAGGAGTACACACATTTACTATAGGAATACACACTATATGAATACACACTAACTATAGGAATACACACTAATTATAGGAATACAAACTGTATAAATACACACTTACTATAGGAATACACATTTACTATATGAATACACACTAACTATAGGAATACACACTAACTATAGGAATACACACATTTACTATAGGAATACACACTATCTATATGAATACACACTAACTATAGGAAAACATACATAAAAATATAGGAATACACACTAACTATGTGAATACACACATTTACTATAGGAATGCACACTAACTATAGGAATACACACTAACATTCACAGGACTAGTATGACATGTAAACCAAAACAAGATAGTTTGAAAAAAAGTAGGCAAGTCTTTTGCATGATAAAGTTATCTCGATTTAACATTTGTGCTTAACAAGTTAAAACAAATGAGATTGCATAGGAAAGACTTATGATTGCAGCAATGATGGAAAGAATGAATGGATCCCAGCAATGATTACATATTCTCTGTACCAGGTATGTACAATTTAAGATCAAGAACCATTTTTAAAGACAAACATTTAGTTCTGTGATGAAAATCTTTGACATGGCTGATTCATTATATATTATTAATATATTCTTACAATTTTTTTTAAAATGTTTTTTCAATATAAAAAACTTAAATTCAATCTCCCATAATCAAAGCAAATAACAAGATGGGCACAAAAATCTAAAACTCACTAAACCATAAACACAACACAATGATAAAAGTGTTAAATGTCTATGAAACCTGTTACTGAAAAAAAAGATCATAATTTGCATTTATTGCCAGGTACAATCTCTGATGCTATAATACAAATATCTGTTTGCCATTCAAGGTCAAGGTCACCCCAGTGGCCATATAATTCAAAATATACGTCTCTCGAGGATCACACAAAAACTGGACTAGTACAATGATCAAGATACTGTTACTGAAGGCATACAATAGAAGATATTGAGATCATATATACCTGAACAAAGATATTCTACTGGTATATCCTTTACTTCCCCAACACTGCTCAGTGAAGTCATGATATTCTCTTCAGTCTGAACCACACCAGATGATCCTTGGGATATGTTTGCCATACATAGACTAATGTCAGTTTCTGTCTGGCTTACAGCAGTGTCTAGTCCACACACAGGTTCATTGTTCTCACTCTTAGTGTTAACTTTAATAATATATGTCACAGGTTCATCTGCTACCCTGTCATCAACAGTGCATGGTAGCACACAATTGGGGTTGGTGTCTTTGTCACATGAAAAGTCCAGATCATCTAATCTTGTTTTCAAAGCACATACAGCTTCAGAAGATTGTTCAGTATCAGTTACTGAAACAGGGTGAGGATTGTGTGACCTATCTTCAATTGATGATGACTCAATTGATGATGGCTGTTCTGCTGTAACACTCTGTTCACAAGGGCCTCCCTGCACCTTACTGTAACCACCAGCCTGTTCATTGGCACCTTTCTCTGCATGACTGTTACCATCTCCATCACTCTCTTCATTGGTTCTTCCTTCGGCCAGACTGTTACTATCTCCAACACTCTGTTCATTGACAAGTTCCTCAGCCTGGCTATCACCCTCATCGTTGACTGCTCCACTTGCAGCAGCACTTCTACTGGCATGGGATGAGGGGTTCTCTAGCCAACGTGTAAACATATCAGACATACGCTGCATTAATGTCGTGTGGGGCGACCTTTCACCTACTAACAGAAGGCAAAAGATCGCATTGTTAGTCATCTGGTACAATCTGATCAATAAGAACAAATTTAACTCATGTGTCGCCTTCTTAAATGTGGTCTTCAAGTAAGTCTTACAATATCCTGATTTGTCCAAAAAGTATAATGAATAGACATAACAAATTTATTTGTATCCATGCTCATCCACTTGTTGGACTAAGTGAAGGATGTCTACCCAAAACAGTGACTGATGTACAACTGATAGTGTACATATGAAACACATCCTAAAGATGCAGTGACAGTGAGTGCTCAAGTTGCTATGGAAACTAAATAAACAATAATCTAGATATAATTCATATATGCTAGCGTATACATCAAAGTCAGAACTGAATTAGAAATACGAAACATTACAGGATTTAAGTCAAAAAGTATATTTTGGTCAGTCATAGTATATTAGTAAAGATTTAACAGAATTGAAAACTATATATTTAGTACTGATAACAATAACAATTACTGTATTTCGCTCCCTCCAATTATTACATGTATCAATAAACATTTCAAGAGATCATTTATATAGTATTTAGGGAAATATGGTCACCATGCCATCTACAGTCAGTACTAACCACATATCAGGGTTAGCCTAGCTGAGTCTTTGTTAAGTGTGGCGCGATATTTATCCTGATCAAGATACACATATTCCATTTGACAGTTAGTCCTGACTGCACTACTCATACTGTACATTAGGAGACTGCTAATACTGAGAAGATAGTCATAAGCAGAGTGCAAAGCAAGTGATGAGAAGGTAGAAAAGACTATTAAAGTAGCCTCTCCCTCCCCTGAGTGAAGGCATCAAGGGATGAAGAAAGTAATGTCTTCAGTTGATGGTTTCCATCAGGAGGTATGATTCATTACTTACACAGAACCTCAGCTCTGAATGAATAAAAGAATATTGAGCAATAACATAACGCTAGCAGACAATGGTGAAGTAACTGACCTTCCTGTCTTTCACTCTGAGGTCTTGCATTGGGACCAGTATCAGACCAATCACCACGTATGCGTAGACGTTTAACAGGATGAAGTGGTGGCTACATATAATACAAATCAAAGAAAGCTTAGAAAGAACTCCCATGTGCTGAGAGTATTGGAGACACATTAAATATAATTCGAAATTACTTAGCTGAAAACTAATTATGCAAATCAGAAAATTAATATGACCAGATTTGAGTGTAAAACTAATGAGGTCTGCGCAATGTAACAGAAAATCTATGTCTCCAAGTTTAATTGAAATGTGATTAGAACCAAAAAATTATGAATTATTATGCTTATTAGGGAATTAATATGAACAGATTTTTACTCCAAACTAATTAGGTTTGTACATTGTCCTAGAGCATCTTTGTACTAAGTTTCATTGAAATGGAATAATTAGTACCGTGAAAACTCCAAAATTTCGAC